CCCCCCCCCCCCCCTTTTTTTTGGCATGGGTTTCGTTTAGAAAATTTTAAATTATTTTGTAAACCCTTTTTGTACTTCTCATAACATTCGATTTCATTTTTGGTTGGACATGCTTTTCTATTCGTTTGAATGTGTAAAATGTGAGTTCCGTACTTGTGAAGTTCTAAATTTTTTTACCGTGTCATGTTAGGATGGCTTTTGTGTATATAGACTCCGTCTTGGCATGTGTATGTACTTATCTTTATAGTCTCTAAACGATGCAGTAATGGGATGCCATCCGTGGTTTTTGGATTCAAAACTACATTTTTGTTATTTAAGTCTTTCTGATTGTTGAAAAAGACCTGATCTTGTTTTACTGCATGAATAGTGCTTTTTATGGATACAAGTATTTGGAATCAACAAATTCTGTTTGTTGTTCGTGATGCTGTCTGTATTTATCATGCTATTATAGTGTATTGTGGCGATATACGTATTGATGTAATCAAATTGTGGATTTGCATGTCATAGAGCAGCTTGTCCATAGAAATCTACGATGGTTATTTAACTTATTTTGAAGTCCTGATTGTCAAACAAGGCAAGGCTGATTTTTCTTTTTGCACAAGCACTTATTTGATATGGAATATTGTGGTGTAAGAATTTTGAATCCACAAAATTTGAAGACCTCAACAAATTGAAATTTGAAATATGTTGTGAATATTGAATAAAGGTGATACTTGCAAGTGGTAGCGTCCTTAAAAACATCTTCAAGAACATTTTAGCATATTATGACATTATGTTTCTGTTCTTGTTTGGAGTCACCATGTCCCCTTTTGTCGTGGGAGTTGTCATATATGCGTTATCTCCTCTCTCAAGATGTTTTTGGTGTCACCATGCTTAACATTTCTCTAGCCATATACACATTGCTTCTGGCAAGCATATTTGAGCAACGATAGATTATTGCATTTGGCGTCCTTGTAATCCTGTGCTTTACTACAGTGGGGCTTCCCTAAGAGATGATGGTAGTTAACGGTAAATTCCAATATATGAACATTTGGAACTTTCCGAGTGAAAGCTGTCAAATTATTTTCTATTTTGTGACGACTAAATAAAATATAGGCTACGTAGCTGTTTCACCATTCATCTTCTCATCATGCAACATCATAGTGCAATTATTGAGTGAAACCATTGCGTGAGTGTTATTTTATACAATTTTTTTCATGCCATTTATTAGTTTTCGAATTAAATTTTTGATGGATTTAATATTTGGAGGTTTATGTTACATATGCCTCTTTCCATGGATTGCTTGCTTTCACTTACACGTTTTCTTCTGTATCTGTATAAGGGCTGATGCCTTTCTTTCAGAAGGTATGAAGATCAAACTGCTCAATTTCATCTTTCATTATTCATAATAACCTCCTCATATAGGACTGTGCATTTGGTTGAGCTTTTATCTTAAATGATGATTTTGATTATATTGGCAATACATTCTTTTAGAAAATTGCAAAATGTGCGGATAAGATTTAAGAGATGTTTCTCTTTATATTGGCAGTTCTTGAAGCTTTTTCTGCAATAAACATCAATGCACTGATTAGTTTCTACTAGCTTTGGCCATTCAAGGGTGTTTGCAAGTTCTTGAAGCTTTGTTGGGGTAAAAGCAGCTGTGAGTGCTGATTAATTTCTTGTAAATAAGGTATTGAAGGATCAACATGATGCAGCCTCCATCATTAAAGCTTAACTTCGAGAGTTGAAAAGGGAGGAAGCAATTGTCAATGAAAATGGAAGGAGAACCAAATGTCTCAAATAGTTCAAATCTTCCAGGTGGCCTGGAGACCACTCCTGAGGTTAAAAGAGATGCCTTTACAGAAAGGTTAGTGAATAATAGTATGGAAGATGAAGGAAATCATTCTTCTGAAAATGCTCAAAAGCAGTTGGTGCTTTATGAACCTGCTGCCACTGGTACTGGCGAAATGGAACCTGCTTTGGGCCACATTGATTTTCCAAATCGGACACCTGGGGTTTTGCGATCTATAGGGGCCTTTGCTGTTCAGTGCGCCAACTGTTTCAAATGGAGGCTCATTCCCTCACAGGAAAAGTATGAGGAAATAAGGGAACATATAATAGAACGTCCTTTCTTGTGTGAAACGGCTCGTGAATGGCAACCTGAGATATCATGTAACGATCAGCCTGATATTGCACAAGATGGAAGTAGACTTTGGGCAATTGACAAACCCAATATTGCTCGATCCCCTCCTGGATGGCAACGGATTTTAAGAATCAGAGGTGAAAGATGCACAAAGTTTGCAGATGTGTAAGAATCATGTTTCTTTTGTTTATTTCCTTTATTTATTTGAAATAGCATTTAAGTCAAACTATGGAGCTGAGCATGGGCAACTTGGAGCCCATACCTTGCAAAGATATCCAGTTTTATTATTCTGAGATAAACAAGTATTATAGACATTTTAGATTAATTTTAGTGCCATTTGTTTTGAAGCATCAGCCAATTTTTTATCAAATTAAATTTGAAATGCTTGTTATTTTTAATGCTTAGATTTTATTTATTTATTTATTTATTATGTTATGAATGGAATTCCAGAAATTAATATAGGGGGATAAATAGGTCCATAGGGCATTCTTATTATTGTCCATCGCTCCATGTTAAATATAATTCAGTAATATCCATAGAATTATCGCCACTTGTATTTTCCTTCTCCTTTCTTCTTTTCCATTTCTAGTCATAGACCCTATTTTCCCACGACCCACAATATCTACCAATCATAAAGAATCATTAAAATGCACCCCTTTTGTGCATGCAAAATCAAATGTATGATACATTAATTTATTATTATTATTATTTTTTATTTTTCAAACACTTTGTCAGCTAATTGTGCAACACGCCAAATACAGTATCATAATGCAATTATTGATTGAAACCTTTGGGTGACTGTCTTTTGTTTTTATACTGATGAGTGCCACATGGTAACGTACCCTTTCCATGGGTTAATTGCTTCCATTTAGACATTCAGGACATTTTACTGTCGAATTAATTCCATAGAGAAGGAACTCATCCTCCTGACTTCCCCACATAAGTGATTGCTTCATACAGGGATGAACAATTGTAGAAGCGGTTCAGAGTTAAAATTGTGCTGAATAGAGAATTGAATCAGTTCCATGGAGAGGAAACCCATTCTCCTGATTTGCCTATACAGTGAAGTGCTTGCTTTGTATGAGGATAAAGCATTATAAAAATGCGTCAATATAAAAATCTATCACTGGAGAGTAAGAATTTCAGTTCTTGCATATTTGTTGAATCATTTCCATAGAAGAGGAACTTATCCTTCTGATTTGCCTTCATAAGAGTCTGAGAAAATAATTTCTATAGGAGCTATGAATGTGTTGCATGGGAGATTTATTTACTCATAGCAGATTAAAAGTTTATTACACGAAATGAATGTGAAATCATGTTAGTATCATTTGAAAAATTAATGTAGTATTCATAATATGGTAAAGAAACAGTTATGTTCCTATTCAAATTGTGTTTTGTCTTCAATATCCACAGGTATTATCTTGCACCATCAGGCAAGAGACTTCGATCTATTGTGGAAGTTCAAAGGTAAAATTCCCCCTTGATCATTACAGAAATGCCTTGATTTTTGTTTGTTTTCTTAATGCATCTCTATAAATAAGAGGGTCTCATCCATATTTTATTTTTTACTAAAGTTAGATTCTTTAGAAAATAAAAATGAAACTGAAAATAGAAAGTTTTCCCTCAATCTGCGCTTGCCATCTGTCCCTCTTCATCGCATCTCAGTCTTCACCACTCACCCCCTCCGTCCAACCTACACCAGATGCCTCCACAACCATTGACACGCTATTCATGACCTCAGCCACCACCCACTGCATCCACATCCTCAGTCTGACTTCCCTTGATATGGACCACTCAACTCCAACCTTTACAAACATCTGCGTGACAGGAATACAATTAAAGAATCTCAAAGAATCAAAGACTTCCCTTGATATGGACCACTCAACTCCAACCTTT